TATATATATACCTGTAAAACCCTTGGGGCGAGAATTTCAGCCGCACCCGGACAAAGGGGTTTCTCCTGGGGGTCAGGCGGGTTTAAGCGGGCCACGGCGGGAATGTACATTCGGAGGCTGATTTGTCCAAATCCGTGTTTGCAGCTGTTTGCTGTTCGCACTCCGAGCTCCGACGGCTCTTTGAGGTGCGACCCCCGCCATTCTGCATTCAGTTGTGCATTGAAGCATTGCAGGATTGGTGCTGTTGGGTTGAGCTGAAGCTTTGAACGATCAATAGTGTTGGGCTCAAGTTTGGCGGTATTTATTTGAGCTCATGGAGCTTCCTCCGGGAGCATTCGAGACCTTGAAATCTCAAGGACAGTTCAATTCCGAATGCATGGCTATGTTCAGATGCACTCTGCTTCCCTTGTGCATTAGGACTTCACGAGATGCCTTTGCCGTGGTTCCACCAGGTGCAGTCTGTTTTGTGGCCGGACAAAGCCACTCCTCACGCCGCCACCATGCACTAGACAACATTGCTGCCTGAAGCTCATCCCTAACCCTCTCTAGTCCGATACTTGTGAGGACATTCTCACGATTGAGGAGGTGTCCATGATCTGCGAAAACTACCGGAAGGGTGGTTCGGTGCGAGAGTTGGCCAAGAAGTTCTGGGAAGCCCAAGCAGCAATGAGACCCTGGGCTTCCATTGGGCTTGGGTACCTCGATTATGGGTTCAGTTTCAATCATGAGATGAGCACTGAACTTAGGAATCAGTGGAGAAGTGCAGACGCCGGACAAGGTGATGAAATCTGAAGCTGAGGGGTAGGGAAAGGCTGTTGTGCTGATCAGGATCGTATAATTTCAGCTGCAAACAAAGCTACAAGATACGTAGGAGCTGCTAGGATCCGATCTGCCAGAAATGTTCTAGCTGTGGCAGCTGTGGATTCCAAGAGCGAAAGCCGGTGCAAAAAGATCCGATTCCAATCAATTCGTTCTTCGAGCTGTCTTATGGTCGCATTTTGCCTGGGCTCTTTCTGGGCACAGGATCCTGGCGATGTGGCGATGATGTCCTCCCTTGTGAATTTAGAAGGGTGAGGAACTGAGCATACAGAATCCCGGGATTGTAGGTTGATAGGTTCTTTCGGGCTGATCTTTGTAAGTGTCGTTGCCCAGGTGGGCTGCGATTCGGTGCCAGAGGCACCCGGTCCCTGGTTCGAGTGGATGGTGCCCCGGCACGGTTTCAGCTAGATCCATGAAGATTTTTCCGATTCTCGCGAGGTACACGATTGTGGATTGTTGCAGACTGGATTCCACAAGGCCTTTAATCTAGGAATCTAGGCATGGGATCTTTCGTTTGTTCTGCCTCAACCCTGTGACTTCGGACAGGTGGCTCGGCGACAGCAAGACCAACTAGTGCCCCGCATGCAGCCGCCCCTCTGTGCTCTTATGCAGGGTTTGAATTCCGATGTTTAGGGGGGTAGGGTTTGAGATTTTGCTCTAGCTCCCTAAACCCTAAACCCCTAA